CCCCCCCGTTTTGAATACATTGTTTCAGAAGCGGATTTCCGATGTCACACCGAGCGAATCAAACACGAGAGCGTCGCCAGATGAGAGTCACATTTGTTCACCCAAAATGGACTTTGTATATATATATATATAAATATATATATGCATACGCATATTATAACGATTTATTACTGATTCTTCAGTGGTATATATATGCATACGCATATTATTAACTGTTTATTACTAATTTTTCATTGTATGTATATATGCCTACGTATATTACTGACTGTTTATTAATGATTCTAAGTTTGTATATGTATATATGCATACGCATATTACTAACTGTTTATTAATGATTCCTAAGTTTGTATACTTATATGCATGCGCATAATATCAACTGTTTATTAATGGCTTTTACGACTTGCCCACAGATATGTTCATGTAATCTTAACCTTGTCGTGGATTTTATTATTAACTGAGATTAATTCCACATGTTCATGAATCCTTAAATAATTTCTTGCCAATGGATTAATAAGTTTAAAGTAGTTAACCGTCAACGATTCACGCCATATGCGTTCTTTATACTGGTGTTCCTATTAATAGTTTCGTTTAACGAATTTTCTACTCAAATGGTTTATAATTTCAAATACTGAATTCCTGATTGATTAAACACATAAGCCCAATTGTCTTCAAATATTCGTACTTGGATAACGTACATTCTTCTTGAAGAATTAAACTACACTGAGTTCATGTAAACATCTGTTGCAATATAATTACTTGTTACTGTGACTGTTGTTTGTTCTATTTTGGTCGACGCTGTCGCTCGCCGAATCCGAACCTTCCCTTTGTAATTGAACATTTTTTGGTCCTTCGAGCCGGATTCGGACGGGTGCGCGTTCCCGGAATGGATTGAAAGCAGTCTAAATATTTATTGTGAAATGTTGCGAATGACGAATCATCTTCTAATCCCTAGCGTTTATTCACAGGTGTAACGGCAACCGTCTAAAGCGCTAAAAATTAAAAGCATGATGGCCACTGTTACTGAATCCCTCGGAGCGTTGTAAACGCTTAACTGTTATACAAGTTCTTGGAACCCTCTCCTGGTGCATCAACTCTCTCGTCTGCTAGACGAAGACACGCGTGAAGCGTGGGAAGTAAAGCTAGGTTCATCGACCGCCTATCCTACATTAAAAGAATTCGAGGAATTTGTGACCGGTCGCACGAGAACGTGGGAGACTTTAGCCCGGGCTGTGACTAAGCCAGCTACCAACAAGGGGCGAACACCTGGAGCTCAAAATCGTTCAGACAGAAAGATGCGTAGTCTAGTCTCTACTGCCCCGTCTGGTAAGACCGGAGTGGAGTATCGCTTATGTAAGTCAATTCATCCCTTGTACCTTTGCCCAAATTATCTTTCTCAGTCCTTCGAACGTCGTAAGCGCGACATCAAAAAACTAAAGCTTTGTTTCAACTGCTTAGGACCTCACCGAGCAAGTAGTTGTACGAGCCCGCGTCGTTGTAAGACTTGCAGTGGTAAACATCCTACCACCTTGCATGATGATAGTAAGTCATCCTCCCAACTTTTAAATAAGAATGCGTCAGAGCATTCGGCTGATAGCGCTTCGTCCTCGACCGCGGCCAAAACTGAGAAAAAATGACTAAAATCACCCGACGCCAAACCTGTAGAGCCCGTGGGTGAATCTCCGCCACTTACTCTCCTCGCTACTTGCCGGGCTAAAGCCAAGACCCGCGATGGTCGATTTATAACCGTCCGAATGCTCCTCGATCAAGGATCTGAATTATCGTTTATCTCAGAGGAATTGGTACATCGTTTAGGGTTAACGCGAAAATCTGCCGCGATCCCCTTAACTGGCATTGGTGGAACTTTCTCCGGGCACACAAAGGGTCTAGTTGCTGTTACATTATATTCCGCGCTTGACCTGACTGCCTCTTCCGAGTTGCGGGCTTATATTCTTCCAAAGCTGACCTGTGAAATACCTTTCTTTGAAGTGTCTTGCCATTCTTGGAGTCATCTTGACGATCTGAGATTAGCGGATCCCGACTTCGGCAAACCCGGGCCGATTCATGTGATTATTGACGCCGTTTCGTATGGTCAAATTATTCACCCGAATCCGATAAAGGGCGACCTGTCGTCACCGGTGGCGCAATTAACGCTCTTTGGATGGATGATTTCAGGGCCCGTCAATTCTAGTACCTCCATTAATCAAGGGAGCGTTTATCATTGCCTCGTTGACACCGATCTCCAAGACCTCTTGACTCGATTTGGGAGCAGGAGGAAATTCCCAAGTCCGCCATTGCGCCTTTAAATCCCGACGATGCTGATTGCGAGGAACAATTTCGCTCCACTATCTCGCGAGATCGAGATGGCCGCTAAATAGTCCGTCTTCCATTAAAATCCCCTGTTACCCTTTTAGGAGACTCGTCTGCGACGGCCCTCCGATGTATGTCGCGGCTGCGGTCACGCTTAAATCAAGACCGAACATACGCGAAACTGTATTCCGAATTCTTGCAGGAATATCAAACGATGGGCCATATGGTCCCAGTAGTAGAAACCGAACCAGCCAATCCTTTCACTTGTTATTTGCCCCATCATGGAGTTTTGCGCAAAGGCCGCCTCTCCAGCAATATTCGAGTTGTGTTTAACGGATCTAGCCGTACGAGCAGCGGCATCTCATTAAACGATATTTTGCATACCGGGGCAAAGTTACAGACTAACATTTTCGAGGTACTGCTCTGGTTCCGCTCGCATCGTTTTGTCTTCTCCTCAGACATCGTTAAGATGTATCGGCAGATCCTCCTGCATCCTGACGACCAAGATTTTCAACGCATCTTTTGACACGACGCCAACGAGCAAGTAATCTCATATAGGCTAACAACAGTGACTTACGGTCTAAGCTGCGCCCCTTTCTTGGCTTTTCGCACGCTTCAACAACTCATTGAGGATGAAGGTCACCGGTTCCCTAAAGCGATAGCCCCTCTGACTAAGGGTAGATTTTGATGACATCTTCGGCGGTGCCGAGTCGTTGGAGGAGGTCAAAGAAGTTATCACGCAAGTACGCCAGCCTTGCATGGCGGGCGGTTTTCCTTTACAAAAATGGAGTAGCAACTATTCAGCTCTGCTAGAGCACCTATCGTTGTCTCAAGATGATAACGCCCCTATTGTTGAGTTAGACTCATCACGAATCAAAATTTTAGGTTTGTTGTGGCAGCCACATCACGACGCTTTCAGCCTTTGTGCTGCGCCATCTTCCGATCACGTCGTCACCAAACGACTAGCACTTTCCGAGACCGCTCAGATATATGACCCTTTAGGATTCATTTCCCCCGTTGTGGTTCGTGCTAAAGCCTTTCTTCAAGAACTTTGGTTGACTAAGGTGGATTGGGACACTCCGCTGTCGAACGAACTACAGGAGAAATGGAATCGCTTCAAACAGCAATTCCCGAGTTGAATAGCGCCGAAATTCCCCGCTGGCTCAGCCTATCTCAAACCGCACGCTCTGTTGAGCGACATGGATTCTCTGACGCGTCGCAACTTGCGATGGCGGCCGTCGTCTATGTAAGAGTCGAACTCCATAATGGAGACGTTCAAGTGAATCTTGCTTGTTCCAAAACGAAAATTGCTCCGCTAAAGAAACTCACTATACCTCGTCTAGAATTAAACGCCGCATTAATTCTGACTCGCCTTGCGCCCAGCGTGCGAAACAGCTTAAATTTAAGGGATACGCCCATCCGTCTCTGGACAGATTCATCCGTTGCCTTCTATTGGATCTCCTCTCATCCCGCGAAATTAAAGGATTACGTTCGCAACAGAGTATCTTCCATTCAGGAGATATTACCATCCGCCACTTGGCGTTTTGTTCCCGGTCGGGAGAATCCCGCGGACTGTGCCTCAAGGGGTTTGAGCCCTTCTGAAATTAAGCAACATTCTTTATGGTGGTCTGGACCACCTTGGCTTCGTCTACCATCGGACAATTGGCCAGAATTGCACCCGAAGCCCCCCGTGAAAATAGATTTAGAGGAAACTTCACACCTCACACTTAACTCCTTAATCGGGCGACAAAAACCCCCGTGGGATCTCTTAGAGCGTTACTCCTCGCTCACAAAGCTCTTGCGCGTTACCGCGACCTGTAAACGAGCCATTTCACGTTTTCGCCGTCTACCCATTAAGGCAGGTGAAGAGTGTATAACTCCAACCGAACTACAAAGCAGTTGTAGCTTCTGGGTACTTCAAGTACAAAAATCTCATTTTTTCGCTCGACGTTGAGCGGCTCAAGAAGGGCGAGCATCTACCAATGACGAGCCCCTTGAATCGACTTACTCCATTATTAGATAACTCCGGACTTTTGAGAGTTGGTGGGCAGCTTCAACGCGCCAATTTAGAAGACGACTCCAAGCATCCCTACCTTTCACCCAAACAATCCCGGTTAACTACCCTGGTAATAGCAGAGGCCCATCTCGAAACCTTCCATGGTGGGATACAGATCACATTGGCCTACATACGCCAGAAATACTGGATCGTCGGAGGCCGGGTTCCTGTCCGCTCCTTCATCTTGAAATGCGTGAAATGCGCACGTTATCGCCACACACGCGCTCAACAACTAATGGGCCAGCTCCCCTCAGCAAGGGTAACTTCGTCCCTTCCCGCATGCAGGAGTCGACTACGCCGGGCCCTTCATTATTAAGACTTGGCGAGGGCGGGCAGCTAAGACGTATAAGGGTTATTTGGCGATTTTCGTCTGCTTCGCTACATCTGCGATCCACATTGAAGTGGTCACTGAGTATACCACGGAAGCCTTCCTTTCAGCATACAAGCGATTCATTTCTCGACGTGGAATCTGCGCGACTTTACAGAGCGACTGTGGAACTAACTTTGTCGGCGCTGACCGTGAACTAAGACGTCGCTTCGAGGCGACTACCAAAGAGTCACGCGAGATTGCCACTGCGCTCGCCCATCTTGGAACGAAGTGGCTCTTTATTCCCCCCGCAGCGCCACATTTCGGAGGCAAGTGGGAAGCCGCAGTCAAGTCTACGAAGTTCCACCTCCGTAGGGTCATTGGAATCACCATACTCACGTATGAGGAGCTAACGACGCTCACCACACAGGTTGAAGCCATCCTCAACTCAAGACCCTTGTGCCCTCTGACTGAAGATGCAGAGGACTGCTCCGCGCTTACCCCAGGACATTTCATTATCGGGGAAGCCCCTACCGTTATCCCAGAGCCCAGCCTCTCGGAACAACCATGCTCCCGTCTTACTCGATGGCAAACCATTCGCCAGAAGGTCGAGCATTTCTGGAAACGATGGAAGAGGGAATGTCTTCAAAGGTATCAGTCGATTTCGAAGTGGCACCACCCATCTACGCAGATCAAGGTCGGGTCATTGGTTCTCATCTTGGATGAACGCTACCCACCAGCCACTTGGCCGCTCGCTAGAGTCTCGCAACTACATCCAGGCGATGATGGATTGATAAGGGTTGTGACCCTGCGTACTGCCACCAGTACCCTGAAAAGACCAATCACGAAGGTCTGTGTACTACCCCTAGATCAGACACAGGATGTATTCGGAAGCTCCGTTCCGGAAGGCAGGCGGAATGTTCAGTCAAGCTCGGTTATCGACCGAGATCGATAGACCACTCAGGGTGCGCGGCTAATACGAACCGGCCCTGTTCTCTATGCGCACCACGAATGCGCGGACTCTCTTCGGTCGTGTGGCAGCAACGACGCCTCGTTTTGATGACGCTCCGGACCCGCTGTGAATTGGTGGCCACTACTCCATACCGTGGCCAAAGGTATATGTCCCTAAGGGAGGTGGCAAGATTGCCTGGAGTATAGTCGTCTGAAAGAGACTGAATAAGTCGTGCCTCGGCTCAGGTAATTCTCTTCTGTCTCTAAAGTTCGGGCCGTGTCGCCATCCTTCATGGCTCGCGCGTAACGGTCGGTCGTACAACCACCGTCAGTTTCTTTGCCGGACGAGTGTCTCCGGCGGTGGCAGCTCCTCGAGTCCGGTGATCTGGCCCGGACGTAGTTTCACTCCGATGCCTTCGGAGTGGCTACCAAGGCAGTGCCGCTGCCGGTCATTGTTTCTCTCTTTCTCTATCTCTCACTCTCATAGTGATTGTGCCCGACGAGTGTCTCGGGCGGTGTCTAGCAAACACCACTTGGAGCGTTCGATGAAAGTTTCGAACGGCGCCTAGCGCATCTTTCGTACGGGGCCTGATGACGGCACAGGCAAAAGCCCGTTTCTCTTTCACAAGTTCACCGGAGTGTGGGTTACATAACCCCCCTCCCCCCCGTTTTGAATACATTGTTTCAGAAGCGGATTTCCGATGTCACACCGAGCGAATCAAACACGAGAGCGTCGCCAGATGAGAGTCACATTTATTCACCACCCAAAATGGACTTTGTATATATATATAAATATATATATGCATACGCATATTATAACGATTTATTACTGATTCTTCAGTGGTATATATATGCATACGCATATTATTAACTGTTTATTACTAATTTTTCATTGTATGTATATATGCCTACGTATATTACTGACTGTTTATTAATGATTCTAAGTTTGTATATGTATATATGCATACGCATATTACTAACTGTTTATTAATGATTCCTAAGTTTGTATACTTATATGCATGCGCATAATATCAACTGTTTATTAATGGCTTTTACGACTTGCCCACAGATATGTTCATGTAATCTTAACCTTGTCGTGGATTTTATTATTAACTGAGATTAATTCCACATGTTCATGAATCCTTAAATAATTTCTTGCCAATGGATTAATAAGTTTAAAGTAGTTAACCGTCAACGATTCACGCCATATGCGTTCTTTATACTGGTGTTCCTATTAATAGTTTCGTTTAACGAATTTTCTACTCAAATGGGTTATAATTTCAAATACTGAATTCCTGATTGATTAAACACATAAGCCCAATTGTCTTCAAATATTCGTACTTGGATAACGTACATTCTTCTTGAAGAATTAAACTACACTGAGTTCATGTAAACATCTGTTGCAATATAATTACTTGTTACTGTGACTGTTGTTTGTTCTATTTTGGTCGACGCTGTCGCTCGCCGAATCCGAACCTTCCCTTTGTAATTGAACATTTTTTGGTCCTTCGAGCCGGATTCGGACGGGTGCGCGTTCCCGGAATGGATTGAAAGCAGTCTAAATATTTATTGTGAAATGTTGCGAATGACGAATCATCTTCTAATCCCTAGCGTTTATTCACAGGTGTAACGGCAACCGTCTAAAGCGCTAAAAATTAAAAGCATGATGGCCACTGTTACTGAATCCCTCGGAGCGTTGTAAACGCTTAACTGTTATACAAGTTCTTGGAACCCTCTCCTGGTGCATCAACTCTCTCGTCTGCTAGACGAAGACACGCGTGAAGCGTGGGAAGTAAAGCTAGGTTCATCGACCGCCTATCCTACATTAAAAGAATTCGAGGAATTTGTGACCGGTCGCACGAGAACGTGGGAGACTTTAGCCCGGGCTGTGACTAAGCCAGCTACCAACAAGGGGCGAACACCTGGAGCTCAAAATCGTTCAGACAGAAAGATGCGTAGTCTAGTCTCTACTGCCCCGTCTGGTAAGACCGGAGTGGAGTATCGCTTATGTAAGTCAATTCATCCCTTGTACCTTTGCCCAAATTATCTTTCTCAGTCCTTCGAACGTCGTAAGCGCGACATCAAAAAACTAAAGCTTTGTTTCAACTGCTTAGGACCTCACCGAGCAAGTAGTTGTACGAGCCCGCGTCGTTGTAAGACTTGCAGTGGTAAACATCCTACCACCTTGCATGATGATAGTAAGTCATCCTCCCAACTTTTAAATAAGAATGCGTCAGAGCATTCGGCTGATAGCGCTTCGTCCTCGACCGCGGCCAAAACTGAGAAAAAATGACTAAAATCACCCGACGCCAAACCTGTAGAGCCCGTGGGTGAATCTCCGCCACTTACTCTCCTCGCTACTTGCCGGGCTAAAGCCAAGACCCGCGATGGTCGATTTATAACCGTCCGAATGCTCCTCGATCAAGGATCTGAATTATCGTTTATCTCAGAGGAATTGGTACATCGTTTAGGGTTAACGCGAAAATCTGCCGCGATCCCCTTAACTGGCATTGGTGGAACTTTCTCCGGGCACACAAAGGGTCTAGTTGCTGTTACATTATATTCCGCGCTTGACCTGACTGCCTCTTCCGAGTTGCGGGCTTATATTCTTCCAAAGCTGACCTGTGAAATACCTTTCTTTGAAGTGTCTTGCCATTCTTGGAGTCATCTTGACGATCTGAGATTAGCGGATCCCGACTTCGGCAAACCCGGGCCGATTCATGTGATTATTGACGCCGTTTCGTATGGTCAAATTATTCACCCGAATCCGATAAAGGGCGACCTGTCGTCACCGGTGGCGCAATTAACGCTCTTTGGATGGATGATTTCAGGGCCCGTCAATTCTAGTACCTCCATTAATCAAGGGAGCGTTTATCATTGCCTCGTTGACACCGATCTCCAAGACCTCTTGACTCGATTTGGGAGCAGGAGGAAATTCCCAAGTCCGCCATTGCGCCTTTAAATCCCGACGATGCTGATTGCGAGGAACAATTTCGCTCCACTATCTCGCGAGATCGAGATGGCCGCTAAATAGTCCGTCTTCCATTAAAATCCCCTGTTACCCTTTTAGGAGACTCGTCTGCGACGGCCCTCCGATGTATGTCGCGGCTGCGGTCACGCTTAAATCAAGACCGAACATACGCGAAACTGTATTCCGAATTCTTGCAGGAATATCAAACGATGGGCCATATGGTCCCAGTAGTAGAAACCGAACCAGCCAATCCTTTCACTTGTTATTTGCCCCATCATGGAGTTTTGCGCAAAGGCCGCCTCTCCAGCAATATTCGAGTTGTGTTTAACGGATCTAGCCGTACGAGCAGCGGCATCTCATTAAACGATATTTTGCATACCGGGGCAAAGTTACAGACTAACATTTTCGAGGTACTGCTCTGGTTCCGCTCGCATCGTTTTGTCTTCTCCTCAGACATCGTTAAGATGTATCGGCAGATCCTCCTGCATCCTGACGACCAAGATCTTCAACGCATCTTTTGGCACGACGCCAACGAGCAAGTAATCTCATATAGGCTAACAACAGTGACTTACGGTCTAAGCTGCGCCCCTTTCTTGGCTTTTCGCACGCTTCAACAACTCATTGAGGATGAAGGTCACCGGTTCCCTAAAGCGATAGCCCCTCTGACTAAGGGTAGATTTTGATGACATCTTCGGCGGTGCCGAGTCGTTGGAGGAGGTCAAAGAAGTTATCACGCAAGTACGCCAGCCTTGCATGGCGGGCGGTTTTCCTTTACAAAAATGGAGTAGCAACTATTCAGCTCTGCTAGAGCACCTATCGTTGTCTCAAGATGATAACGCCCCTATTGTTGAGTTAGACTCATCACGAATCAAAATTTTAGGTTTGTTGTGGCAGCCACATCACGACGCTTTCAGCCTTTGTGCTGCGCCATCTTCCGATCACGTCGTCACCAAACGACTAGCACTTTCCGAGACCGCTCAGATATATGACCCTTTAGGATTCATTTCCCCCGTTGTGGTTCGTGCTAAAGCCTTTCTTCTAATTTGAGAATGTATAATAGTGTAGTTGCTCGCCCTCGTTGCCGCCAAGTCACGTGTGTAATTGTAAATTATTGAGAATTCTTAAAAGTCGAGACTGGCGTTATCGCGCATTTGAGAACCGTTGCCGTCTCATGTAAAATTGTATATTTCAATTGTTCACGAAGTAATCATTGTTAATGTAATAAGATCTGGATTTTGTCGCTCATTTCTTCTCGACGAATTATTGCCGAATTTACTTCCTATTGTCGACGGCCATTTAATAGTCGGTTCATTGTTATTGTGCCGCATACCAGAGCGCGGAAGGTCAACGCTGTAACATACTGTCTTACGAACACTTTTGTACAGTCTCTGTAAAATATATTGATTTCTCTCTATTGTCATCATTAATTCTGGTGCATTTATTTCAGCCTCTCTGTCTTTCTCCGATAATCTTTTCCGCTTACCGCGAACCACTCCCCTCTGCCAATTCCGTTGGCTGAGCTAGTCATTTCGTCCGTCGCGAGAATCCGCGTAATCTTTACATTTTGTCCGAGCAGATTATCTAACCATTTGTGCGAAGAGTTGGCACGCTCTCTCGTGCCTGGCGCCCAACGAATTTTGATAGCGACTAAGATCTTCGCTGAGC